TTACTACAAATTTTACTATTACTAGAAGTCTAGTAATTTTTATTTACTGCTATAATTTTTACTATTATTGGAGGTTCAGTAATTATTATTTATTCCTACAACTTTTAGTATAACTAGAGGCTTGACATTTGATGTTTATTGCTACTATGTTTAATATTATAGAAAAGGATAAAAACAAAATTATAAGTAAGCTTGGAGTATTTTTCATCTTATGGTTAATTGAGAATTCAGTGTCAGTCAAAAGCCCAGCGCTTTCTCAAGGCAAGCTCTCTTTCCCTCCAACAACGGTCCCTATTGTAGCTGGACAAATTTATTTTTCGATATGTTTTCATCTTTGATAGTTGTACTCCTCATTTTGTAGTTGCATCATTTCTTTGGACAATATTAACTAGTGTGCTTAGCTTCTCCACAATATAAACATAATCTTTCTTGATGACAAAAAGTCTTTTCTTGTTCAGTGAGAGGTTTAAAATGTACTACATTAATTTGTATGACTTCTACTTCCAAATGTTTAGATTGAGAAGTTGATGGTATCACCATTGAATTATAATAACATTGAAGTTTCCTTGTGCAATTTTCAGATTGAAATTCAAAAAGTTAATTATTACATTTCACAGTAAAGTCAATTGCTTCACTTAATGTTTGAGGATTAGATAAATTAAGCATCAATTTTTTTACTTCATATTATAATCCATAGAAAAATTGGCTAATGAGTGCTACATCATCCCATTTGATATTTGTTACTAATTGTTGAAATTATGAAGCATATAATGTCACTAATTGATTGTCTTATCGCAAGATACAAATCTTCTTGGTTGCAATATGGGTTGCATCATGTTCTCCATACATAGGTTGAAATTTCATTAAGAATGCTTCTTAATTATTCAATATTGGATCATGTCATTCAAAAAATGATGAAAACTATGATAAAGCAGAACTTGAAAGTAGTATTCCAATAAAATTGACTTGTAATCCTTAAGTTGGATAACTTTAAGGTTGTAGTTCAATGACCAGTTGTACTTGATTGATGAATCTTCAAAACTTAGATCTTGTGCCATCAAACTTCTTATGCAATCCAATTTTTGGTTCCTTAAAACTTGAACAATGTCCAGTTGTAAGAGCAGTAGTATGGCTTGGTATAGATGCTAAAGCAACTCCAATGATGTCTATATCTTTATTGCTTGATAATCTTATTGCTCCTTGTAATGGTAGACTGAATTAATGCATTGCAAGCATTAACTCTCTCATTTGCTCTTGCGTTTGAGCCATTACATTCTTCATTTCAGCAAGCTCTGCCATGCTAGTACAATAAAAAGAAAGGTATCTATTTTCACAAAATACAATACTCAAGAATCAAAAAAAAAAATAGAAACAATATTAGTTTAGAAGAGGGAAATTTAAAACTTCTAATTTGTTTATGTGTTATTAAGAGAAAGGGATAATCTATTCTTAATCAAGAAAGGATAAAGCTCTGATATTATATGTGTACTCTTGTCAATCTATCAAGGACACAAATTAGAAGAAGATACATAAACTCATGGAATCTATATTAGAATAAAAGTGACAAAATAGAAGAAAGTATGTATGTTGAAGAAAGAACTGGAATAGCTATTGCTAAAGACTAGAAAACATAAGACTCTTGAAACTAGACTATAATCAAAAAAGGAGTTGACAAGAAAGACGAAGGCCTCACTCTTGCCTCTATATATACTACTTAACTAAGAATTATGTGGTGACATGCTATAGGATCTCTAATACGCATCTAACTTGTAGAACCCATGTCTAATTTGCAAGGCAAGTTTCCTAGGTGTGTACCATATGTCTAATTTTTAATACAAGTAGTTAACATGTTGACATGTAGCTTAATTGTTGGCCAAGTTTTCAACCTACCAATCACCTATAAACATGTATAAAGGCAAAGCAGTGTCTATGAAGCTTCTAAGAAGCTTTCTACAAGATATTATCATATTTATCTACTTTGACTTACTTCTATCTATTCTTATTATCTAGATAATTATTAAGATAAATATGTATCTCCGTGATACCTTCTTTTCCATCTTATGATTGATTTAGTCTATTTCTTGTTCCTATTCCTTGATTCAATCTATCTCCAATCTTCAACCTTTTCATCTCCATTTCTTATCTCTAATCACTCATTTACAATCCTTGTTCCTTATCTTGCCCTCTCATTCCTTTGTCCTTAATTCAATGTTACTTGCTCTCAATCCTTGTCTTCCATCCTTCCATCCCTTGTTTAAAGTCTATGTCTTCCATTCATTATCCCTCATCTTTTGTTCCTTATCTCCATCCTCCATGTCAAACCTTCTAGCTTTATTCTCAGCATGCTTTTTCTATTTTGTTTCTTTATTATTGTGAATAGCAACAATAACATTCATTAAAGATGTATTTTTATAAAATTATTTTGGGACTAAAAAATTATTGATATTGCATTGTAATTAAAAGATATTATATCTTGTTTGAATTTAAATACTATTAGATTAATTGATTGTATTTTGTGTATTTATGGAATTTGAATTTTCCAACAAAAATTTAAAATTTACAAGTCTTTTGAAATAGACATTATGAGCAAAATCCATGACTGAAGTTGTTGGGACTTAGAGTTGGTTTCATGAAACAAGCAAGATTAAGTTTTACTACTTTTTTTGTAGTCTAATTGTTAAGAGTGAAAAATTAAAGTAGAGTAAATAAACACTATGGTGAAGATATGGTACATGATAGTAAGAACAAAGATTTAAGATTAATATAAGTTAATTTAATATTTATTTATTATTCTAAAACAAACTAATTTTTTTATTATAAATAAAATTATTATTTTTATATTAAAGTTTTTTTTAATTTTAACTAAATATATTTAATTCTTAGTACTATGATTATTTTTAATTTTATTAGAATGTGTAATTTTAAATTTATATTCTAGATCATGAATAATATGTGATATGAAATAAATGAGTTATTTGTTATATGAAAGTATATATAGAGGAGTGCATGAAAATTCAGTTGTGATCTTTTTTTTCTTTAAATTATAAAAAAAATGCAAAATGTATAATAAAATATAATTTTACTTTAAGTTGTTTTATCTGTTAAAATAAATTCTAATTTTGATTATGAGGCTTTATCAAATTCTTATAATTACCAAATGTAGAATATAAAATAAATAATCATAAGTTTATTATAAATCATCATATATTATACTGTTAGAAATGTAAAGAAAAACTGAGATACCAAGACTATTCATTAAATATATTTTTTTATTATATATCTTATTTAAAAATTTAAAATATTACTTTTTAATTTTTAATAAAATAAAGGTAAGAAAGAAGTGAAAACTAAGATTATATAGATAAAATTATGGTTGTATTGTTTTATTTTTAAAAAATACAAAATAGGATTTTAAAAATTTTGATTTCTAATGCTGTTAATTTTTTAAAATAATGATATTATTTATATTACTAAATTATCGCCATTAAAATTATTTTAGTAATATTTTAAAGAAAATTTATAACTTATTATTTATTCACTTATTTGTTAAATATATATAAACACAAGATATATTGGTATTCATTTGCATGGAGAATGTTGTATATAAGTAAAGGAATTATTTTTGCTTAAGATTGTTTAGACATAAAAAATCATATTAAATAACATTAAAATTTTAGTAAATATATATTGCTACAAGGAAAATTGTATTGTCTTTTTTGTTCAGAAAATATATATATGTGTACTTGCAAAATTATAATAGACATGAATATGATAAATATATATATATATATATATATATATATACATTAGATGTAGTTAAGTAAAAAAAGAAAATATTGAATTAAAAATAAAATATAAAAAACTATTTACAAGAATAAAAATGATCATATTATATATATATATATATTTATATATAAGTCGATAAGAATGACCTTTAGAAGCTACTAAAAGGCCACAAAGCTTGCAAAACATGCTTGTAAAATGTAGGATGCTTTTACAATTGCTTTGTAGATGCTTAGAAGTTGAAAAAGAAGTTTTTATTGCTACATGGTGCATAAAAGTATATTTATAAATCTATATCCCTAATAGGTTTCTATAATATCTTGTGAAGAAACATTATTTTAAAATTTAATCTTATATTTGTAAATATTTTTTAAACACATTTTTTCTAACTATTGATCATCTATTTTGTTTAAAATAATTATAAAAAATTCAAAAAAGATTAAAGTATTTAGGTTAGAGTATTCATATTTATCTTATTCATTAACTTGAAGTTAAAAATGAATGATGATGTTAGCTTAATCTTTAAAATTGAATAGAACTTTATAAAAAACTTTAATATGAATTGAGTTTTGAAATAAAATATTGTCAAGAACATGAATATTAAAAAACTTAAAAAAAAAGACAATATATTTATATGCACTTAGGCAAGAAGAAAGAAAGCAAAAAAGATATAAAATTTATATAGTGGAAACACAACATTGATTCTTGTTTCAAGACTCTCTAGTTTATTAACACCTTGCAATAATATATATATATATATATATATATATATATATATATATTTTTGTCTTTCTTTTCTTTAGGTTTTTGGATGTCTGTTTGAAATATATTGTAAAGTAGCTCCTTCAACTAACTCTCTCTCTCTCCCTCTCTTTTATTTATTTATTTTTTAAATTTAAATATAGAAAAAACTTTAACAAAATCAAGAAAAAAAACGAAGGATAACAACCCATGCAGTGTGGCTGGCCACACATCATCAAAATTTATTTTTTCATATAAAATAATGCAATCTCAGTATGTGAGGAATGACTGCCCACATCGCGAGTGACGAGCGCGTCGCGTCGCGGCTGTCGCGCGGCCGCGACTGGCCACGCCTGCGTGGCAGATCCAGATAGAGCTCAAAAACTGGAGAATCGACAAGGGCCAGTGGCGGCGAGGCATCGAGTGGGGACCCAATCCTGGCGAAATCCAAACAGGCATCTCCTCCAATCAATTGCCTTCGCCATTTGGGTTTCTCGTGACCACACCCCGCCCGCAATTCTCCGCCCCTTGTCCACAGTATAAACAATCTGTACGCCCGCTCCATCTTCAGCACAGTCGAGTTCGCGTTACCCTCTGAAAGTTGTGTGGTGTGTTGCTTAGTGTTGAAACCTGTAGCAGCCATGGCCGCCGCTACCGCCATGCACTCCACCACCTTGGCTGGGCAGAGCTTGCTCAAGCCCGTGAACGAGCTCTCCCGCAAGGTTGGCTCCTCTGAGGCCCGCGTCACCATGCGCAGGACCGTGAAGTCCACCAGCGACAGCATCTGGTATGTATCGCTTTTGCTTTAATGTTTGACATGTAATCGATGTAGTGTTTGATTTCGGGGAATTTCTCCTCGGATGTCAGTCGGTGAAATGTGTCTCTAGGGTATACTGGAGTGTCCTTGACTTACCGCTGGCTCTGAAGTGACTCTGCTTGGGTCTAGTAGTGCGCGTCACACTGTTTGTGTTCGTTGTTCTGAATTCGCCTGAACGTACTCCTGTTCACCGCTGCCGAGGTGATTGAGAACGCCGGGTTGTTCTGCTCCCCCTATTGCTTCCTAATAGTAGCTCGATATATTTGTAATGCAGGTACGGTGCCGACCGACCCAAGTATTTAGGCCCCTTCTCTGGAGAGACCCCTTCATACCTGACTGGTGAGTTCGCCGGTGACTACGGGTGGGACACTGCTGGACTGTCCTCTGACCCTGAGACCTTCGCCAGGAACAGGGAGCTTGAGGTCATCCACGCCCGATGGGCCATGCTCGGAGCTTTGGGGTGCCTCACCCCCGAGCTCTTGGCTAAGAGCGGTGTGAAGTTCGGCGAGGCCGTATGGTTTAAGGCCGGAGCTCAGATCTTCAGCGAGGGCGGTTTGGACTACTTGGGAAACCCTAGCCTTGTTCACGCTCAGAGCATCTTGGCCATCTGGGCGTCCCAGGTTGTGCTCATGGGAGCCGTTGAGGGTTACCGTGTTGCCGGTGGACCCTTGGGTGAGATCACCGACCCCATCTACCCCGGAGGCTCATTTGACCCCTTGGGTTTGGCTGATGACCCCGACACATTCGCTGAGTTGAAGGTCAAGGAGATTAAGAACGGCCGTCTCGCTATGTTCTCCATGTTCGGATTCTTCGTCCAGGCCATCGTAACCGGCAAAGGCCCACTCGAGAACTTGAATGACCACTTGGCTGACCCCGTCGCCAACAACGCCTGGGCATACGCAACCAACTTTGTTCCCGGGAATTAGATCAAAATCAGAATTGAGAATGCCCTGAGCATTGCCCTAGTGGATTGTATCATAGGGCCACATGGAGGCTCGATTTTTTCGGTTGTGGTTCAGCTGTCGTGAATAAAGACTGTATTATTCATCAATTTGTGTCAGTGAGATCAAGTTTTGTCTTGAGCACTTGGATCATGCTGCGTACATGTATGCCCCAAGTAATCTTTTAGCATGATGTGCCTGACATGTTGACACCCCTGATTGCTAGTCGGTGTCAAGTTCAAATCTTGTGGCTCTGTACACCCACTCAGTGGGTGGCAGGACTGAATTAATGAACTAGATCAATTATTGAAGTTATCAATTGCAGCCTATACACTGGTAAGTAGGGTAATTCACCTACATGCTGATGAATATCGCAGCCAGGGTTAACATGTTTGTAGATAAATAACTGCGCTCGTTAGAGACGTAAATGATGTACTCTCAATTATTCTTTACTCCAATAACCTATCCTTCACTTAATCGTTTCTCAAGCTGTTTGAATGTTCTGTACGACTTGTCTATGATGTGTGAGGTCGTACTCTCTACGAATATGGTTTTCATACAATTGATTACGGTTTTCGGCTACAGTCCTCTAACCAATTTTACTTTGTTCGCGTCAACGCACAATAATATGTTTAGGACATTGTGTCTTCATTTATCGTTCCATTTTGAGGTAGTTAATGAAACATGCGAAATTACAAGCTGTTGAGTGCGAGGGCAGACAAATTATACAATCGATCCTGCATGCAGCTTGCGCTGCGGTCAAATAACGATTTTCTCTCTCGAGGCACACTTAACTTGGAAGGTGTAAAGGATTCATCTGGATTAGGTTACCATCAACAGTAATGAAACCTCCATTCGGCACCGAAGCTAAACTTTGACTACTCGTGGGTGTACACCTTGTCACGTGGGTTTAAAAAATCAGTGAAATCTTATATTCTCTATTTCTATATGTTAATTCATATATATATAATCACATTGTAGTGTGTCACTACTAACTAGGTTAGAGGAAGGATGTTACGGCGATTGGGAAATTCTTAAATATGCAATGGAAGTAATACGCTTCCTCTTGTGAAATCTATTCACATTGATGTAACCTCGAAATACGCGAAACCTCAAGCGGAGGCATTCATAAGCCTGAATTATGGAGCTCGTCTTGGGAAGCGACAACAACATACCTCTGTTGACAGGACATCTTAACTGGGTCCTCCCTAGCCAGGAGAAATTTTCTTTCCATGTGGGGTCGGGCTGGTGATCAATCTTCCCAGCCATAGGCTGCGTGGGACGTAACATCTTGTGTGGCACATGTGGGCAGTTTGGGAGAAGATGCCCGCCCTCGCTCCCGTTGGATTCATTCCCGAGTCGTCACAAAGGCCGCCGTCAAACTCGCAATATGGTTTGAAGTCGCGTTCAGAATCACTCAACGCTCTAAGTATGGGGGTGCTGTTAGCATTTGCGAGCCGGAAGGATGTAGCATTATGCTGGTGGAAGTGGATCAAGTGACAGCTGCTCACGTTTTGTTGTTAGGAGCAAGGTTCCACAGGTCTGGGGAGGGAAGTTTGAAGAGAATGGACTGCAGAATTCATTGTGAGGAGTCCGTCGATAGATTTGCAGGTTTCTGATGATGGAAGGTTCTAATTAAAAATAAAATAAAATGAGCTTTGTATAGTCGGGAGGCGTGATGGGGTGGCTGTGGATGTGTCTCGGAATCAGAGACAACTCAGCTCGGAGAATTCGTGATGCTGAGGTATGTTAGCTTTCTGAGCTTGGACTTCGAGATATAGGTCTAAGACTGTAAGGGTAACTTGGTAGGGGATGTATGTCCGGGACTTCTGCCGGACGATGGACGCATCGGGTTGATGGTTCAAATTCTTGATGTTGCGAGATATTACATCGATTGTTTCAAGGGGGTAGTTGTGTGGTGTTGCGATGAAGTTTTCAGGGCCTTGTAAGTTTGCCTGATGTTAACCGAACTTGAATTGTGCACATCAGGGAAGATTGAGCAGCGATTCTTACGACGCCAGATTTGGCAGCTCCAAGATACCGCGGATAGAAGGTTACGAAGTTTTGGTTTTTCCTTGCCTTTGCAGCTGTGATTAATTTCCATCACCTCGGCTGTACGTCTGTTTGGGTTAGGCAGTTTTTTTTGTTTTTCGTTTTTTTGATTTTTTTGATTTTTTTGGTTGAATCGAAGAAGACATATCGTAGCTTCCCTGAAGTCAGAATGTAAAGAAGTTCTTCCAGTGAGCTCTACAATTTTGATATAATGGATTTTCAGGTTAAGTATGGTCCTATCCCTTCAAAGTTCGGAGCTATGGTGGGTGTGTGTCGTCCGGTACTGAGCCAATGGACCTGCACGAAGAAAACACAATACTAGTAGTAACGTGCGGAGGTGCTTTGGTGCAGACTACTTGCAGCCCAGACGAACGGGATACGACGTCTTCGTTAATAGATATACATCAGAGTCCCCGAACTCAATTAAAACGGTCGCATCGTCGATAGATTCAATACACGCAGATGGAAATGGCAGCAACAAAGAAGGCAAAAAATGGGCACATCAGGTATAGCTTGCGTTCTAAAACTGGGGAGGACGATCAGGGAAGAGATAGAAGTATATTGGTTCAGCTTAAGCGTACAAGGCATTCTAAGCATCCAGTCTATCCTCACAATCTCGCGTAACTGCTCTTCCTAATTTCCCTGAGAAGTTTATGACAGTGTCGTAGCGATGGTTTCTGCAGGAATCGAATGTGCAACTCCGTCGCGTGGAAAAGAAATGGGGAAACACGAATGCAATACCTCCTGGCGATGTTATTAGCAGAGAATTCCGACCACACTGGAGCAGTGGCGAACAGATTCCCGAAAATAACGTTGTTTCACGAGAAACATCGAGTTTGCGGAAGTCCTTTTCCGAGCTCTTGATGGAAACTGACGCACTTGATAGCTCGACGTCGAGATTCAAGGGTCCTCTGGCATTGTAAGTACGAGAAATGTGGTTGAGTTTTGTTCTGTTCATCGGACTCTGCACTTCGAGAAGCTAATTTTCTTGTGAGTTGTTGATGACAGAGCCGCCATCGCTGCAGCAGCTGAGAGAGCTGCGAGATCACATAGACAGCACGGGGAAGGCGGAAGAGGAAGGAAAAACATCCAGCCTGTGCACTTGGCGGCTTGCGATCAGCCTTCTCGGAGTCCCCAGTCTCCTCATTCTATATCGCTGTCTTCAGCCGTGAGTGTCTCTTCTCTCTCTAAGAAGCACCTTGAAGCTTCACATGCGGTAGCTGCTTTCAAAGAGAACAGGCGTCGACAAATGTCTGAGAGGCAATCAAATGTCCGGAGTAATGGAAGCATTCGGAAAATTTTCCGCTCGTCACGGAAGCGCCCGTTCCGACGAGCTCTGTCGCCCGTCCTCGAAGTCTTGTCCCTTGACGAAGAACTCCGGAGCAAGAGGAAAAGTGACGTTAGCTTGCGCGATCTATTCACCAACGACTTGCCGCAAGCTCCCAGTGAACGTACTTCCACAGAATCAATACCTTCTGCTGGTGACCATCAGCAGAGTACATGGAGGAATTCTTTGGCTATGATTGCGAAGGCAACAGGGATGACATCAGAAGCTCTCTCGACAGAGGAGGGTGCTGATTGTGTGGATGTGGAGAATTTGCAAGAGAAATCGGAGGCTGCCGGAGCCGGACATTCACCCTGCCCTTTGTCTAGCTGTTTAAGTGAGTTTGCAGAAGGACGAAGTCAAGAAACTCCAGTTGATGGATCAGTGCTCGGTGAGAATGGTACTATCAATGGCAACCATGACCGCAACCTTGACGAAGGATTGGATAGGGCTTCCAGCCCTCCACGAGGAGCATATCCGGAGGGAACCTCTTCCGGCCCAGAAAATTTGCGACTTCAAAGTCAGCCTCATACCGGCTCTCAAAATCTGGGACACGAGCCGCATGATGATGTCTCATTGCTGAGGACTTCGGTGAGAGATGTATTGGTATCGCCAGAGGTGTTCATGTCCCCTAAAACGGCCAACTCGGAGCTAAATTTCACGAGAATTATGGACGTGAATCCCGAAGAGAGGCCCATCCTTGGTTCCCTAGCGGATCACTGGGAAGCTGCGTTGACGACGAAAAAATCCGCTTGGGACGGCAAAGGCATTCCGAATTCGACCCACAAGTACCGGGAGGTAAGAATCAACCACTCTTGTTTGCATAGGAACAGAACCATGCGCACAGTCCGAAATGTAATTGCCACTAATTCTGCCTACTGAAGTCCCTGTTGGTATGCGATACAGGATCAGAAAGTCATGTGGCATTCGGCGTCATTTGAGGAACGTCTGGTGCAAGCTCTAGCAACACAAGAAGCCTCAGTTCCCCAAAGGTACTGCATATCCTTGCTTGTATAAGCATCAGTATGTCATGTTTTGCATCAATTTCTGTTGATCGTCAACCATGTACACAATCACTTTAATCAACTCTTTTGCATCTGCAAGTGGGTTGGGTATCAAGCTTTCTGTTCTGGCGCGTGCGTCTTCGATTTGCTTCATGGGTCAGCTCGTGCTCCATCTGTGAACATAGTCGGCACCTAATGCAAAATCAACCTACTTCACATGTGGTGGTTATCGATTACTGACGGACTTTTTTATGGTGGATTTTCGAAGCTTGATGGTATATTTCTTAAAGTGTGGCTTGGAATGTGCAGAAGAAGCAGGTCAAGAGGACTAGTGAATCGATTAGCAGCAGGTAGGAGTGATACGGGTTTGCAAGCACATTAGTGCAACCTCATCTCACAAACTAGACCTGAAGATGGAGAGACAATTTTACCTTCTTCGAATTTACATTTTATTCTCTGGATGCAAGTCGTCTTTGAAATTTGGCAAACCTAAGGCCGAGTTTTGATTGGAATGAAACAATGAAGATATAAATGGGACCAACCTCATGAATTCCATCCCAACATGGTGGTATAATATCCTTGTGGCTCGCAGTGTCCACCATCACAATTCCAGAACTGAATTGCTTTTTCAAAAAAATTCCCCTGGAGATGAAATTCCATTTTGTGTTTTGAATTCATGATCAGACCTATTACCAATACAAGACTTTCAAATGATACTCACGCTATCAAAGGACTAATACTTTTATCAAGTAGATCACCAATCTTGTGCACCAGGACAAAGACAAATCAAAGGATTTACACCTTGAGATTTAGTTGAAATTCTCCATAAATTATTTTTACAAATAGTTTGAGTAGTGCCACTTATATAATACAAAGAAGACAACATGAAATATTTAATACTACTGTTCAATTCAGTAAGTAATTCATAATTTAAATTGTTAATATATTAGTATGAAATGGGAGCAAAGCTGACAACTTATGTTTTAGTATCAGATATAATAGATTTGTTCTATTGATGAGGTGTGAGACTTAACAGGGTTACAATTGCTTATCAAACTCATACTGTGTTATTCTTTTTATTGGTTGAGTGTTCAAGTAAAGTTATTTTTTTATGATATAGCGATTTTAATGTAGTTTATTTGAGACTAAGTAGTAATTGAAGGGGACTAAGATTTGTTGTATGCATTCTCATGTTAAATTTCTCTTACCATGACAATGTTTTGAGCATTATCAAAAGCCTCATATTTGTAGATGCTTTAATTGATAAATAGATGCCATTGTGTTTGCAAATTTACAATGCGTGGTATGAAACAACCTACAATAACAATGCTTATTAGCTATAGAAACAAGACAAACAACCCAAAAAACAAGAATAAAGTGTTTAAAAACACTTTGGCAATCTTGACCAAACCTTAAATAATCATAAAAAGTAATCCCAATTAAATCTAATAAAAATTGAAAAAATCCAAAAGAAACCATAAACCCTAAATCCAAAGGAAATCCTAGTCAAACTTTGATTAAAAACTACAATAGTTTCAAACCTTAATAACTTTTATAATAACCATTAATCTTATGTAAAATTTTACATACACTTTAATTTACTAATTAAAAACAAGCATATATAATTTCAAAAAAATTTAACTTACAAATTAAGAGAAATAGCTCATAATCTACTCCAATGTTGATAATCTTTCTTCTTCAATTTCAATCTAAATCTTCCATCTTAAATTTCTTTGTCTTAAATTGTTAACTTCTTTTCAAAATTTTCAAGAATGTAAAAAATTAGCCAATCAATAGTATATCATTTTTTTTTTTTTTTTCCTAATTTAACTTCCAAATTGCTCAAAATCTAAGAAATTCTTATTGACCTTTAAAATTTAATTTTTAAGATATTAACTTACTTGAACCTCAATTTCTTTTGAGAAAGATTGTTTAATAGAGCTCAAATTCATTATTTATATTTAGTACAAAATATTCACAAACTTACAAAATTTTATATATTGATCTACTACAAAGTCCACACGATTTACTAAGATGTAATCTTCTTTTTATCTTACACAAAACATTATCATTCAAAACAACCTCTACTTTGAAAAGCTCTCATAAAGTCAAAATAAATTCAAATTGCTTAAAATAAATATTTATAAAAATCCAATCAAATTTTCTTTAAAAACTCACACTCCAATCAATTGGAAAAAACCTTATTTTCTATAGGTGCAAGGTTTTATGCCTTAGGATCTGGTTTTGATCCTAATTTATAACCAACCTTCTATAGATATCAATCTAAGATTTATCTAATTAATTTTTTTGATTGCTATTCTTTACTTCTATCTTAAGATACACATAATAGTATTTTTACTAATCTACTTGTTTTTTCTTATGTATGGCTTTACAAACTAAGTAGAATCTCTTTTTACAAAAATGCAATGTTAACACTTATTAATTTTACTACCTCTTTAAATATTATCTATAACTCTAAGTTAATTTTCTATTATATTTTAAAATAAGTTATTTTATAATATAAAACTCTCTTTCATCCAATAGCCATGTAATAATATAAAAATATAGAAGAAAATTATAAATATTATTTTTCCATCTTTAATAAAAATAGTTGTGCTTCTTTTAACTTTAACCTCGTGAGGTTTGTTTCCAAATGCCCAAATTTTCCTCCTTTAAAAATTATTTATTTTTCTTCAACAACTTTGTAATGTTAGTAAGAAAGACCTCTAGATCCTTATGTTTACTATAAGTGTCTTCTTTTAACATCTTTACATCTTCTTTGGATAACTCACTAGGATGATATTTGACAACTAGTTAATTTTTAGCGATATAACCTCTCTTACTATATCAATAACATATGGACCTAAAATGAAAATATTTTTATGATTTCTCAACATTCTTCTTGAAAGTCAAAACTGAATTCTTGCTGACTTTGTGTTTTTGAAACATCGTGACAAGAGCCTTTAAGTCTTCTTTTCCAAGTTGTAAGTTCCAAAGCTCCATTTGATACAATGCAATGACGAACTTAGTGCTTAAGGCGTTGAAAGAAAGAAGCTCTTCCATGTTGGAGATGATAGACATTGTGGCATCATAGATGCAAGGCAATCTATTAAGCATTAAGTAAATAAAAATTGTATTAAAAAAGGCTTATTCTATGCAAGACATTTGATCTTTTAGATCTTCGATAGTGTTGAGGTAATCTTCAATTTTCTCTCTTTCTTTCATTTTGATTGAATGTAGATTTTTAAAAATTATCAAAAGTTATGACATGTCACTTGACTTCAACTTAGTTGACATGATTATCTGTATTAGCTACTACTTTCATTAATTTATTCTTTATCAACATAATTATAGCATAGTAAGTATTAACCTTCATTAATTTAAGTTTATTTTTACTCAAATCTCTTCTATAAATATTAAATATAAGCTAGCTAGCTATGATTTTGCTCTCAACTATTTTTTACAAATCTTCTCTTAAACAAAACTTTCATGTACACTTTCTATATGTAAAAGTTAACAAATCTTCTCTTAAACAAAACTTTCATGTGCACTTTCTATATGTAAAAGTTAACAATTCCATCTAATTTTTTGACTTTACCAAATTAAGTTATTTTTTTGATTTTTTTAGATATTTCTATATTTAGACCTCTTTTTAACTTCATATGAAGTAGAAATTTTAAAATAGACTTTCTTTCTAAGTCTATCTCTTCTCTTGTTGACATCTGAGTAAATAAAGATCAAAGTTTATTTAGATGTATTCTTTTGAATACATAGAGAAATAATTAGTTATCCTTAACTTGTTAGATTTAATGCTACACTTGCTTTAATATCATATAGTTTTTAATAAGTGAGTGATAATATATCACATATTGAATTATATACACAAATGAGTAGTAGCAAATAATTGAGCAAAAGCGGCATTTCATTCTTATAAAGAGTGTATAACAATAAAGACCTAAATAATCAATTTATAAATGAATTGAAAATAACCAATCATATAGATGAATTGAAAAGTTCATTAGTCAAATTCTAAGTAGACTTGAAAGTAAAAAAAATAAAAGATTGTTTGAGTACCAACAAATTATTATAGACAAATACCACAAATATGATCTATATAATTGTAAATTGTCTAAATCTTATGAAAATTATCTTAGTAAGTAGAAGATTAAAAAAGTTATTTTTTTGTTATTTAGGTTATATTTAATTTAAATTATTTCAATTGATCAAAATCCTTAATACTATGGATTAAGGATTCACTATTAAATTCTTTGATTAACTATATATCTTTAGTAGAGTTTTATTGTGTGATGAAATATTACTTAAGTGTCAATTAGTGGGTATTTAGAAGTTCACCAAAAACATCTAATATATGCATCAAATAAAACCAAGATTACCAAAGTTTGATTATTTTTTTAGAAGAATTTATAAATAAAAAAAAAATAAAAATGATTAAAAATAGAAAAATGATTTTTTTCTGCTTATTTTATTTGTTGACAGTATGTACATAGCCTAGCAAAAAGATTTGCTAGTGAATAATACAACACGCTACTTTTTTGACTTCAATAGTTGATTGCTCTACAACTACTTTTGAAATATCACATTTGTAAAAAAAATATTTTAAAGAGATTTCTTTTTTAAACTTAAATAGTTACCATTGTATAAAACCTTACAAAAATGATGTGCAATTCTAATTTTTACAAATTAATTATTATAAATAAAATATTTTTTACAATAACCATAATTTTATCAAAATAAGAATAAATTTTATTATTAGTGGTGTCATATTATTATACAGCTATTAGGTGAAAAAAAAAAGATTATATTATAGAATAGCTTAATTAAAAATATTATAAATAATTATATTAGAAATAAAAATAATAGACAAGAAAGTAGTAAAACTATTAAGTCCTAATATTATCTCTTTGCAAAATGGACTTCTACTTACTTTGTATGGCTATAAATGCGACAAAATAAAATAGATAAAATAAAATAATTAAAATAGGCATATTTAGAAAGAAATTAAGAGTGGTTTGTATCAAAAATTACCTTAATAAAACTAAGAATTGATACTTAAAGGACCAATTGTGAACTAAGATCAAAATCAAACCTTGAGGCATAAAATTGCACATCTACAACAATTCTTAGTTTTTAGTATGATCAAAGAAGGCAATTTTAGAACACATTAGAGCAAGGTTATTTAGGTAGTAATTTGGAGTGATTTGAATTTGTAATGGCTTTGTAAAGGCTTTGCAAATTCAATGTTGTTTTGAGATGACTTTGATTTTTTAAGAAATATAATAGGTTTATACTTTAGAGAATTTTATGAGATTGCTAATTGAGCTAAAAGTAATTTTTTGTGGTTATGTGATTGTAATTGAGTTAAATATATGTTGTAAATTTGAGCTTGATTGAATGGTTTATTTAAGTATTATTAAAATTTAAGAATTTGAATATCTCATTAATTAGAGTTTAAAAGATCAACAAGGATTTCCAAGATTTTTAGCCATTTCTAATTAGATTGAGATAAATTTTTGTGCTGTAGTATTGGACTTCATTTCCAACATTTGCACAAATTTTGGAAGCATTAGATGGTGCAATAAAGATATATTAG